GATGCAACTAGGCAAATACATTTATATGCTGCCCTTTAAAAAAATAAGCAAGTAGTCTAGCTTACTTACTTTTTAAGTTTTGTTAAAGCTTATAGTTGGTTATAGTCAGGAGATCATGAACCTTCTCTTAGTTATTTTAGTAAGTCTCATACTGCTACAGGACCTCATGCGATGCATTGAGCACTTCTTTTTCATTGTAGCATTACAGAATGCCATTTTTCCCCTTAGTCCCTCCCTTAAAAGGGGAGGGCTAGAGGTGCCTGGCTAACTAAACCCTGTTTTGTCAGAAGTTTCTTCCTGTCAAAAGTGAGTTTTTCTTTCTCACCCTGGCAAAATATTTCCTCATCAGGTGTTGCTACATTGTTGCTATTTTCTCCAGAATACTGGAGGATCTTACCTTATAGTATAAAGCACTTTGAGTGAATTTGAGCAATATAAATAAATGTGAACTGAATTGAAACCCGAATTCTCATACCACTTAAGATCTGCAGCAAAAAGATCAGACCATCTTGTTAGAGCTTTGATAGTGATTGATAGGTATATTAACTTGCACAGGCTGCATTTTTATTGGCTTTCCCTCCTGGTTTCAAGGCATTTATGTATATAAGGCTTTTACAGTCTTACTGCCTTGCACGATATGCATTTTCCTATCACACATATGCATTTTCCTATCACACACTGCTCCTTTGGCTGCAGTACTACTGTGACTTTGAGCCTGTATTTAGGTTAGGGAAGAAACGATATTCTATGTATGTTGAATTTGTGTCACAGGACCCAGATTCACTGACTGACTGATTGTGTACCCCACTTGTTTGTCCTCTGCTCAGTCCAGCTACATGTCTGTTTAGTGCAATTGTGTTGGACTGATGATCTTTTTGGCCAAAAAAATTATTACAGTTATTACAGTTCAAATACTACAATATTCCACATTTCATTAATGGCTGTATGTCAAATTATGGTTGAATTTCAACACCAGCCACCAGCTAGTTATCTTAACATAAGGAAAAGTTATATTAAAAACATGGGCAAAATCACACCAAGTTTAAATTTGAGCAGTATAAGCTTTGTATATGCCAAAGCTTATACAAAGTATAAGCTTTGGCAGAGCTGCACTGTGTCCAGTCTTTATGTTGTTTAGATTCCTCCCAAAATGTTTTCTCTGACCACTTGCAGCTGTGCTCTGTAATGATTTGATTCCAACATGTACGTCAAGCTTGTGCAGAGTACAAACATTGACTTGTATCAGAATGACCAGACCTTCATGTTCACCTTCTAACTTCAGGAGTCTCATGGTTTGAGAATGTGTAGCTTCCCTGCTTAAAGTGAAACCAGCTGGAAGTGAATGATCACTGCTGTTTGAAGTATTACATTCAACATGGGAGCAATATATAGATATCTCTCTCTCTCTCTCTCTCTCTCTTCAACAGCATGAAAACTAAAAGAAAAGGGAATATGTTTCCTGAGATACTGTCAACTTGTTGACCCGTACATGTAAAGAGAAAAGTAGTAAGGTCTTTCACAATACATTGTTTACCAATTTTACAAATTGCTTGAAAGTTTAGAACAATAATTCAGAGACAGACCACAGGATGAGATGGGAAATAGGAGCTTAAAATATTTGTTAGTCCACACATTAGTTTAGCAGTCACCGAAACATGACAATCAATAAATAGACTTTTTCTTTCTTTTTTCTTGTTCTTTATGCTCTTGAATATAAAGAACAACATGGATGTAAGATGAGGAGGATAAGGACATGTAATGATGCCAGTTGAACAGATAATCAATCTGCAGTGAGTTTTCGACTTAACTCACTTTAACTCAGTAAAACAACTGCAGGTTTCACTGAACATATACAATCTGATCGTTACACTTTTGTAATTTTTCCATCAATGAAGTTAAAGCAGCACAGTAATAAAACAGAATATATTGCATTCATTAAGAGTTGACATGCAATGAGGGTCCCAATCTAAGAGCAGCTCCTATAATTAGCTTGGTCTAAAAAGCTAAAGTGAAGTCTGGTCTGTTCTGTCTGTTATGCCCCCAAAAATTTCAGTTTCTGATTTTCTCTACTGACTGAGTAAGGCCAAAAGATAGTTTACTCAAAACTGTGGAAGTGGAGTCATGCTAAGTCAGGAGTCAGCAGATCAGGTAGAGGGGGGCCAGATGTTAGAGCCTGAAGGTTAAAGGTCACAAGGAGAAAATGCCAGCTGTTAAATAGCCC